AATTGTGTGAAATCCATGTTGATACTTGAATTGAATTACATAAGCTTACCCTACTTCTTGTCTTGTCTATTTTGTACGTTCGGTGGTTGTCTTTCTGTTGCAATGATCATCCATGTGGATGTGAGCAGATGGAGAAGCGTTGCTGGAAGAGGCGCTGAAAGAAGAAAATTTGGTAGAGGTAGATGTTAAGGTCGAACAGTAGAACCGTTCGGTCATCTGCTGTTTTATTATCTTAGAGGACCGTTCGGTATAAGTATTTTGTAAATCGTTCGGTCTAGGATTGTATATTTGTATAGTTTTAATCTCTTGCTATTTTGTAAGGTCGTTCGGCCATAATCGTACGTTCTATCTTTTGTAAGGACTGATCTGTAGTATTATGAATGTGATGTTCCTATTATATGACTTTACACTATATTTTTGGGATGTTACAATAACTAAATGATATAATTGAACATTAATTAAACAACCACAAATAAATTATATATTTGCATTTATAACATATATTACATTATAACTTCAAAAATATAAATATAGTTTAGAAATTTTTGTTTTCTAAAATGGCTTATATATTCATTATTTTTCTAATTATTAGTGAAAGACCTTTAGTACAATTTTCTTTCTTAATTGTATTTTCTTCTTTTACAAAACTCGAATTCAAAAAGATAAAACAGGATCCAATCTTCTACTTTTTGCTTAGTATAATTGTTTCATTAATTGATAACCTAAATAATCTTATTTGTTGATGAAAATGAACCCTAATCACACATGATTTCAACGATCAAAATTAGTTATTTTATTCTCTTAAAAAAGGAATCCATAATGTAGAAGTTGAAAAATGGTGTCATTCTAACTCATGTAGGGACCAATAAATGCATGCGCGGAAACATAGCCATATATAGGAAACACAAAATTCAGTAATAATTTTTCAAATTTAAGAACTGAAATTCCATTTGACTAAGTTGCAAAGGAGAAAAAAAAAACACATCAATTATCAACATAGTGGTTTAACAAAATTCATACAATTGCATGAAATCAAGAAAACCATAAATCAATATTCCCAAACATTACATTCAACTTGATCATGTGATGGGAATGAAGAAATTAAAGCTTACTCTTTCTGGCATGCATTTTCTCGATTTACGTGTGCATGGAATCTTTCAACTGGGATTACCTTTTCATTGATCAAAGGGTACTATATTATAAGGTATAGACTAATCAAAGGGTATATGATATAACTTTATTATATTTCTAGTTAATATAGAAATTACAATATATTTATATTGAATAGAGTCATATTTCTTATAAAAAAAATCCGATATCAAATACTGATAAAAAACTTATTAGTTTATCATACACGAAACTAAATATTAGTTATGTAATAATTAGAGTAATAAATTATTTTGTGCATTATCTAAGATAAAGATACACGCTACTTAAAATTAAATACAGAAAAAGAGTTATTGTTAATAAAATCATAAGATTCTGTTATTGTCAAACATTTCAAATATCAAATTAAATATTTATATATAATTTGGAAACAGCTTGATAAAAGTAATACGATAAAATTAACAAGCATTATTATTATCATAATAAACAAAAATATTTTTTTATTTTATTTTATTATGTAAAACTAGTACTGTCAAAACAAGTCATTTAGCTCAACCCGACTCCATTCAGTCGAAAAAAATTTAAACTTGGTCCAACCCACCACGGGTTGAACGGTTAAATAGATCGACTCACTTGATTATAAGTTTTTTTCAATTAAAAAAATAACAAAAATTTTCTAATTCAAATCTAAATAAACGAGAAGGGTTTTAAATTATATTTATGATCAAATGAAACATAAGATTTCATTAACAAAAAAGATATCACAATTTTCTCAACAAAAATTTAGTAGTTTCATAGCTATTCAAATTTATTTTTGCATATAAATTGAGTTATAGATTTATAATTTTTTCATGTTGTCTAATTATTCCATACAAAAATAATTGAATGCGGGTCTTCTTTTTAATATTTTGTAAAATGATTAATCCAACCAAAAGTATTTATTAAAAAAATTAAGTGGACTAGTGAATCGTTACCACGGGAACAACCTGAGTGAGTCAAGTTCAATTCGGATGAGTCGGATTCAAAATTAGACTATTTCAAAATTTAAAATCTTTTTGAACTAAACCCAACTTAAATATGTAATAGACCAAATTAGCCGATGAGTTTCAACCCATTTTAACCTGAGTATGTAAAACTAACCAATAAAATAACATTTATAGTTTTTTATATACTCTAATATGATCGTATGATTAATAAGTATGAAATTTAAAACATTGCTGACTAAGATTAAGTGGAACCTATATTCCATATGGAATTGTCTTATTAACATAACCTTTTTAAAAGAAAATTGGGAATTTAAAAGTTTATAGATTCTCTTTCCATGATGTTTGAATTTAGAGGGAATAGTAGTGTTAAACACGGCATATGAAAGGCAATAGATGGGTCCAAAAGTAGGCACCGTCAATAATTGACATCAAACTCATTGGCTCATGGACAACTCAACACATCTTTTTCTTCCTCTATTAACAACTATAATTTATTTATACTTTCTCTTCAAAAAAAAAATAACGATTTAAAAAGACTATTTACATTCTAGATTATTATATATTGAATATTATTCCATTATATTCAACATGTTTGATATTAATGGTAGTTTAAATATCTTTTTTCTTTTCTTATGTTTTTTATATTATTTAATAATAAAATTGTGATAAAAATTACAGATTTATAACAAATAATATTTGGAATATATAATTTATCTTACTGTGTTATTTTAAGATATTTGATGTTAGTAAAAGAACAATAATTTGTTATAGTTAGAAATTTCATGATTAAAAATAAAATAATTTTATAATATATAAATGAATAGAAACTTTATCTTACGAATCAATTTTACAGAATTAAATTAGATTTAAAATTTATTTTTTAATATTTATTTATTTGTTTTGGAAGGAAAGATTGGAACAACGTAAGCAGTCAGAAACAGCTCTATGCTTTATTTGTTTGAACACATGCACGACCAATTGACGTGAAAAGTTTGTGATGATCTTCATTTCTTCAACACTATAATATATTGAATTATTAGCTGTTTTTCTTATATTTTTGTTTGGCATGTGTGTTGAAAGTTGAAACAAAAATGAATGGAAAATGAGATTTTCTGATTTTTGTATATATAGTCCCTTTTAATTATTCATTTTTGATGGAGACAATATATAGGAAAAACATTGTAAATATCCTAAACGAACATCACACGTTTCCTTTTGGGGAATAAAATGATGTAACTTTTTTAATTGAAGTCTGTTTGTTAGAAAAGTGGATTCAACAAACATAAAAAGTAAGACAAAAAAAACTTAATATAATTAATGTAACTCGATATATATCACATATTGTCAATTTTCAGATACTGAAATAATTAGTAAAATAAAACTTTTTTAATTAAACTATATTTTATATTCCAAACTTTAAAACAATATGTTTACATTTTAATTTAATTTTTTTTATTGTTAGTCAAATATTTTTAAAATTTATATTTTCATACTCGAGATACTTAATAATACAGTATCTTCATTCTTTCAGTAAGCGATACAAATACAGAAAAAGAGAGCATGATATAGCATCTACGTTTTGTTTTGTTTTTTTTTTCTGTATATATAGCCTTTAATTCCTATCCAAAAACAGCAATTTAGATGGAAATAAAAAAATATTAGCAACCCACATTTAAAATTAAGAATTAATTGAGTTAAGCAAAGTCCATTAGAATTAATTAACAACTAATTCAACCATCTTAGAGATATTTCCTAATTTAAATAAATTTGAAAATATAAACTAAAAACATTTGAAAATAAGAGAAATATAAAAAAATGTTTAAAATAAAAAAATAAACATAAAGAATAAATGTTTAAAATAAAAAAAAAATAATAATACAAACAGTAAATATTATTGGACTTAAGTATGTAGAAAAAAAATATATGGTGGACATAAATAAAAATAAATTTAATTTCCTAATTTTTATTTAATGTTACCTAAGCATCATTCTCTATATATATAATGAGGAAAAATTAAAAATTATTTCTTCATTATATGAAAACAAGAATATTATATCAACTTAACTATTATATACTTAATTAATGAAAAAATTATTTATTTTGCTTTATAATTGATTGCAAAATGTCTTAACTAATATTATATATAGATCATAAGATATTCATATGCTTATAATTTTATTCTTTTGCATAATTGGAATTTTTTTCAAGTCATGGTTTGAAAACTCCAATAAAAAAGAAAGCGAAAGGGACAAGTGGTGTCGGTAAATGATTCCATTTTCGGACATAAATGCATTTCATTTATACGTATATTTTGGTGACACTAAAAATAAGGAACAAATGAATTTAATTAAAATTTACGATAGAGATACATTAAAGTTGACTGCGAGGATAGTTAATACATTTTTAGTTTATATCCAATAAAAACTATTTTAGATATAATTTTAAAGTAATTATTATAAATAAAGTCAATAATTTTGTTATTACTTGAGAAGTTAGTACATTATATTTAAATTAACATTTTCTATAAAAAAAAAAACCCCACTTGTTAATTCTTCAATGAATGCTTGTAGGAATATATAGCAGTGTGTTAAATAGGAATGTGAAACGATGGTGGAATCTAACAAATATCATCTTCTTAAAACACGTTTCATTCTCTGGTTTTGTCAAATGGAAATGAATGGAGTGATAGAAAAACGACAATTTTATTTGAAAAATAGACAAAAAGAATTTGAGTGAAATATTATAGGTTTTAAGAATTCATTTAATTGATTTTATGAAAAGTCATTGGGCATAGACTTTTGGAGGTTTCTTGCTGCAGCATTCATATCCAAGTGTTGCAGACTCTTGTTATTTAGCTTTGCCATAAAGAATAATCTGATATATTCAAAAGGGTGAAACACAGAAAAAATGAAAAATCGTGAGAGAAGTGTCAGGCAGTACAACAAATCTGAACTTCCACGCCTTCGTTGGACACCTCAACTCCATCACCACTTTGTTCAAGCTATTGAAAGCCTTGGTGGAAAACACAGTAAACTTCAATTTCCTTCTTATCATAATAGTATATTCTGTTCTATCTAGGGTTTATGTATATGTTTAGGGCTTCCAAAACCTGTTGATGAAAGCATCAGATTAGGGTAGAAAAGTCACCGTTTGATCTCAGAAGGCCAGTTTAATTAATGCCTCATCAAGCTTTTCATCAAACCTTTGAACTTTCCTTCACTCTTTAACTTTTCTGCTTTGTTGACTCACTCTTCTGCATGTCTGAGTTTCATTTTTGCCTTGTTTTTCTTCTGATTCTTGTCTCATATATATGTTATTTATCATAACACACACACACACACACACATATATATATATATAGCAGAAAATTTTATGTATATAGATGAAGTTCGTTTGATCTCTTTCTTCTCTATGTCACTGTGAAACATGAAACCGAATTAAGGTGGGAAGAAACTGTTTGAAAATTGAGATGTGATTGATTATAAACTGCAAATAAAAATCATAGAAGCAACATGGTTTTGCAGAGGCAACTCCGAAGAGAATTCTGCAGCAGATGCATGTGAGAGGGCTCAAGATCGCTCACATCAAAAGCCATCTTCAGGTATTTCTGTCTATATATATATATATATAAACGGTTAAGTTAGGTTTAGTATTACCTTCATGGTATAAGAGTCATGAACAGACATTTATGACTGAGATTTGTTTTTCTGAGTTTATCATATTAACCGTTATTACATAGTTATCGTGTTTAGTTTCACATGATAAATCTATCTCTGACATAGGTTAAAAATTTCATATAGATTAAATTTAAAATTCATTTTAAAAAAATAAATATATATTTTTATATATTAGGTAAATTCAGCACAAATTTATTTATTCACTTTGGGAAAAAATATAGTTTATGGAACGTGAAGAGATATCTATGAAAAACATTAATTCCTGATATGATATATTGTTCTAGGGCTTTTTCTAGTCCTCAATTAATTAGGTCATCACATCTCTGTCACCTCTTTTCCTTTTACATTAAATGGCTCAATAAATGAGTTAGACCAAATAGTTTGAAAGTTAGTTCAATTATTGCTGAAAAACAAAATCAGAAAGCATACAGTGCCTTCTTTCAAATAATGACTATATTTCTTGGAAAACTTCATAAGGCACTGCACAGTGCAGGCATAAATATACTTGAGTTTTTCAGAAATTTCCCTTTATGTAAACCACCACAATCTATTAGTGCAATTTTTAAACTATGTTATTATGTGAAAATGATGAAAGATTTAAAGAAAGGACAAATTTCTAAACAATGTAATAAATTTTGCTAGTCTTGTAACTAAAAAACAACTACATATTTATAAATAAGTACTGCTTCAACCCTTATATGTGGTAATTAAGGATTGTAATAGTATATCACTTTAATAACATTTTATCATAAATTGAGCATAACATATTGTTACACAAAGATAAATAAAAATTTATATTACAAAAAAGACGAATCAATCTATATGAAAAAAATGTAACTACACCACGGATAACACTACATCGATTAAAATATTATTATATTCACTTGTTTTTCCTTAATTTAGATATTTTCTTAGTTATGGTATTATATTTCAGAGAAATAACTTTTAAATTTAATTTAATTTCACAAAAATTAATTTATAAAATGATATTTGTATCCAGTTATATATTTTAAATTAATTTTATCTCTAATTAATGTTGAACACATACTACGCTTACCTAGTCTCCCATAAGTTTTTCTTACATAATAGTTTAATATTAATATATATGATACCATATTAAATATCTAAAATTTAGCATATTTTAAAATTGATATTTAAAAATATTTTATTTTCTTGATAAAATGAGTACGTAAACTTGATTATTTTGTTAAGTATGAATTAAGAACATATTAATTTGAATAGTGTGGTATGCTTACATTGAAGAGAAATGGGTTTTGTTAATTAGATGTACAGAAACATGAAAGGCTATGCCAAGAAATGTGCAGATGAGTTGATGGAAGGAAATGTAAAGGATTTCAAAGTATGCTCCATTTGTCCAACCCAAAGGTATTTTCAAAACATTTTTGCTTATGAGTATGTTGAATTTTTCTTTTCAAGATTGGGACAACTTTAATTTCTTCTTTTCAACTACCTTTTAGACATAATTTATATATCTAAATCATTAAAGTATATATATCTAATATCATCAGTAAACATCTAGTGATTTAAATTTTCTTTTTAGAGAAATTATCGAACTATCCAAAATACTATCATTCAATTATATCTTTACATATTACGTAATTGAGTATTATTGAATTTGATCCCTAAAATAAAATTAAAAAAACAGTGAATATGAATGAAACCATAATTGAATTACTTAATAATTTCTCAATCCTCTTAACATTGAGAAACAAGAGATTGTAGTGTCTTAACCATAAACATATACATGACTAAAAAATCCACCTACATATATTAAAAAACTAGCAAATGAATTAAAAATTCATAAACATGTATGAAAATTAAAATGTTATTAATTCTTTATCGTCAATTGAAAAAAGTAAATACATGTCATTTGAATATTATTCGATCATATATATATATATATATATATATATATATATNTATATATATATATATATATATATATATAATTTATTGGTCTTTTAAAAATGAGTTTTATGAAAAAGTTGATTTTATCATATTATGAATTTAATACCATTTTCATATCTTTTTACAAAAATATGAAAGCACAGAATAATGAAGAAGGTGGAACTTCAGCTCTTAGACAACAAAAAAGGACTTTCACAAAGCAACGAAGAAACTGATTATGATCTAAACCAGGTATTATATCACTTTCCATCTCCCTAATATTTTGCGACTTTTAGTTATATGAAGAAAAGAAACATCATGTAATGTTTTGAAAATGCATCATGTTAGTAGTGGACTTTAAGCTTAATTCAACCCCACAAAACCGGCTTGTAGAGTGATGTTTGCACCCACTAATAAACTATGAATTGACCTTATCTCTAGTCGATGTGGAACTTCCAACACACCCCTTCACGCTGAAGTATATACATCTCGAGCGTGGGATTAGACATTTTTAATGGTTGGTCCAATAGCGGTCCGATAGCGGGTAGAACAATATGCCCAACAGACAATAAATATCGCTATGATAGACTCTAATCATGACTCTGATACCATGTTAGAAGTGGACTTTGTTGAAAGTCCTACATCGACTAGATATAAGGTCAATTCATAGTTTATAAGTGGTGCAAACTTTACCCTACGAGTTGGTTTTGTAGAGATTGATTTAGACTTAAAATTCAATTCTAACATAGCCTAAAGAAAAGGAGATGTTGATAAAATGAATATTATTGACATATTTTATATATTGGTAAAAATATTGCAGGAAGTTGAGTCAAGTTCATGGTTGGTTAGAGATGATGTGTCAAATGAAGAAGAAAATGTTCCTAATCTATTATTTTCCTTCAGCACACCACTAATTTCTATGATGAAAAGTGAGAATAGCAAAAACATGATGCATTTTTCCTCATCAACTGCACCACCTAATCATTCTATCGATTCTAGTTATACACCTTCCTTTGGAAATACTTATATTAACTTAGACCTAGCAATATGAATATGTCAATTCCAATTTTATTTACTTCATTATACAGGTGCGAACACACTAATTACTGTTAATAATTTAGGTTGATAACTTAGTTGATTATTATATTCTTTATTACAAGTTAGCTAGTCTTGTTAGCCTTAATAAAAAGGTTATCTTTCTTCTTCTGTATAATAATTATAGTCATTATGTTACCAGAATCTAAACCATGATTATTAATTGGCGAAAAAAAATCTAACAGTATGATTCATCGGGCAGAGCTGGGGCAACTTTATTCTTCATTTGCATCAAGCCCTAGGGTTTATTGAAATTCATTCACTTGCATTATGCATTTTCTTCTTTAACACCATGATCATATAATTTATCACTTTTCACTCATTTCTTATTCGTAATTCTTTTCTAGGAGTTGTCACACATTTTAAATGAATGATAATTTCATAAAGTCTCAATTACCTTTATTCCTTGTAAATACCTTTTTTTTTTCAAAGAGTATGTGTTTAATAGGTAACAGAAAAGTAAAACTATGCAATTCATGTTTGGAAATAATTGTTTAAATAAGTACATAAGATTTTGAAATCCATTCCATAAAATAAAAATTCATTTATGAGGAAACATTTTCATTAAATCAGAAATTTACCAAAAAATTCCTGTAATCAAGTGTAAAGTTCATTTTAGGTTTAATGTCTCGACAGGTCCCTATTTTCGTCCGGAATCTCAAATAGGCCTCTTTCTTTTTTGGCGTTTCAATTGGGTCCTTAATTTTGTAAAATTGAATTAAATAGGACCTTTCCGTTAAATTCACGAAACGGCGTTAAATGTTGTATCATCTGGTATGCTGACTGTGTTATTTTAACACACGTGTCATTACGTGGATAAATTCTATTATTTTAAATTTTGAATTAAAAATTAAATTAAAATAGGGGAAATTCAATTAGGGCAAAGTTGGCAATTCAATTACAGAACCCCGTTCTCTCTGCAATTTCGGCGACGTCTCCTCCTTGGACCCCATGTTTTCCGGCACCAGTCTACAGCCACTCCCCTCTCAACCCTTCCTTTTTCGCGGACTGACGACCCAACCCTAATTTCGCAAACCGCATAGCCTCCAAAAATCCTTGTCCCTAAAATCGAACCCTCTCAACCTTTCAAATTCTTCCCCCAATACCATCCCACCCCCCTTTCTCCGCCTCCCGCCGCTCCCCGGAGCAGCCCCAGCACAAACGACAGCGAAATCCCACAGCATCGAGAGAGTAGAGACGCTTACCCTCAGCCAAATCCCACAGCAAAATAACTCCATCTTTTCCACCACTGGCACACAGAGAACCATCGGGAGAAACAGTAACAGTGTTCACATACCCACTGTGTCCAGCAAGGGTATTTCTCAACTTGCAGTTCGTGAGGTTCCACACCTTAACAGTGCGGTCCCAAGATGCAGACACAATAGTCGGCTGAAGAGTGCTAGGGCTGAAACGCACACAACTAACCCAATCAGAATGAGCATCACTATCTTGAATGGTGTACTTGCATTCACCAAGGGTATTCCACAATTTGATTGTGCGGTCACGCGAGGCCGACTCGATCTGACGGTTGTCAATGGAGAACGCCACAGAGAGGACGTCCTTGGTGTGTCCAACAAAACGACGCGTGGAGGTGCCGGCTGCAAGGTCCCAGAGGCGGAGCTCTCCGTCCCAGGAGCCGGAAAGCGCAAACTGTTCATCAGAAGATAGAACAACATCCTGATATGGTTTTGATGGTACCACAGTTGCACCACGTTGCTAATGACACGTGTGTTAAAATAACACAGTCAGCATACCAGATGATACAACACTTAACGCCGTTTCGTGAATTTAACGGAAAGGTCCTATTTAATTCAATTTTACAAAATTAAGGACCCAATTGAAACGCCAAAAAAGAAAGGGTCCTATTTGAGATTCCGGACGAAAATAGGGACTTGTCGAGACATTAAACCTTCATTTTATCAAAAAGACAATAAAACCAACCGCACTTCTTATTACTACTTATAAATCCAAATATTATGATTTTGAAAAAATTAACATGAAATACCATAAAAAAAATAGTTCACACAATAAGATTTTTATAAATTAACTTTAACTCGTTAAAAGATTATTTTATTATTTTATTTTCTTCTTTAAAAATTATTTATAAAAATGTCATACAAGTACTCCTACTGTTTACGTAACAAGAAAAAATTAATAAAACTCATATGAGAAGATGGACCGAAATGACAGGTTAGAAACACGCCTGCCAAATTAATTGAAATAAAATACATCGCATTTAACAATATAATTAAAATTAAACCAATAAATGTACATTAATTGGGAAAAAAAGGCAGAATGATTATATTTATACAAGTTCGGATCACAGGGGACCCAAACACTTTCAACTGTTTCTGTTCTCTTACATCTTTCACTACACATCATTGACATGTATTCATTTTCCTAAAATATCACTAAGTACAAACATTCACTGTCTCTTTGCCAAAGTCTTTCTCAATCCTTTAATAATTTTTGAAAACCAAACCAAGTTCATAATTGATAGCACCAGCGGCACAACAATAACTAACACTTGTCCAAACGACTGCATCTGCTCAACCTGTTTTGAATAATTGTATGACGTGAGATCCTAAGATTTATAAGATAAACTTTGCTGGACCAGAAATTTGAAGGAACATGTTTATGATTCCCATGCAAGCAAGACTATAGCATTTATTACAAAAGCTAAAAAGATTACCCCATTCATCTTGACAATGCATGTAAATGCAAGAGTCATGATCTCATCTCACAACAAAGCACTCTCTAATCCCTATCACGTATGGGTGAATTTCCAACTATCTAATGGGAAGAACATTCATGACTAAGTTGTTCACATGATGGATCTACTGCCACAAAAATTGGCTTGCCAAACATGGAGTCAAATTGTAAATTTGTTGGAACAAGTTCTACCAATTCCATCTTATGGAGGTAATGGTATGTACGTGCTAGTGTAAACTGAAAGAGACTCCCACACTAAATGCCGATCCTTGCACCCACAAACTCACCTCACCCTCCCAATTCAACACACACGTTATACATGTTCAGAAAGTGATCTTGTAGGGCAACATAACATTATTAATCTTAAAAGGCCAAAAATTCAATATTATGATCTGATTGTTGCAAAGCAGCACAAATACCAGAAAATTTCTGAAATTCATTACGTCAGTAGTTATTACCTGATCGAAGTGCAAGTAGACATGGTAAAACATGTATACGAACAAAAGTATTCTGGCAACCTGCACAAAGACCATTTCAGCAAGTATGTCCAAGATGCCAGGATGAGATTATATGTACTCAACCTGACAGGCAATTCAGAATGATTCCACAAATACAAAAAAAAAGAGTGACGTAAATATATTTCAAGCTGTGATGACTTGACCCACCATCCAAGCAATGAATATTACAACTCCGTTGATGATATAAGCTTTCGACTTCTTCATTCCAGCTGCATCAAGATACCTTCACAAACACAATATATGCATAAATAAATCAATCACATGACATATACTGCAACATTTAAGTGGTAGATTACCATCTCAAATTTATCCCAGGAGTTGTTGTCTCAGAGATCAGGACCATGTATGTGTATAGCTGACCCTCTCCACTCAACATTGAATAGGCTACTGCTACTAAAGAAAGCAAATGATGAATCACCTGAATCAATGTCAGCATAAAGTAATGTTAATCCAGACCCACAACCAAAGAAGGTGAAAAAGGAAGGAAACCAAACTCCTGCCATAATCATCTTCAGCTGGGTTCCTATGAAGTGGAATATCTTAAAATTGAATAGAGTTCAGATGAATAAGTTGGTTTAACTCATGCAAATCAAAGGATATGATCCTTACATACTCATATCCACCAAGAGAAGGAAAAAACCAAAATATCATCCCAAGGTCAGCGATGAAGTAACCAACAGATACCTGTTACAATAAAATTGAAACAAACACGCAAATTTCATAACCAGATATAAATAAAAATGTCTTGCAGATCATAATATGATCTATAAACATAATTTTCTGTGTTACCATTGGATGTATCAGGAAAATCAATGCAATAAAAAGTCCAGATTTGACGTAAATTGTTACTAGCAACATATAGAAAACATTACTGACTAAAATGGAATTGGCAGATATGCATAATAAAAACATATGGGATGATCTTTCTTTTCTTTCTTCAGCAGAAAAATTAATTATGAAAATCAAGCAGCATGTTTCATGCAGCAGAAGCAGAAGGCACATATACTTACTCATCAACAATTTACTTAAAATATTATTTTTCTTTACCCTGGCAGTATATTCCTCTTGTCTGTCTTGACTTCGTAAGAACACATGGGTGTCCTCCAAATTTAAGACCAGTATGTCTAGTGATTCAGACTTAACTTACAGTATATTTAGTGATTCAGACTCATCTAAAGTATATTATCTCATACTTCTTTGGGAACTCCTCTACATCACGCCACTCGTGTTAATATCAGAAAATGGTATCAGGCCACTAAACAAGATGACATAATATATAACCGTAGTTAGCGTACAATTCAACTCCATGATCCATTCCTTTATCCAATTGATATGCCCTCAACAGTGAAGTAAAACAATTATAAGTGATTGTTTATCATAGATAATGGTGACGGGCAGATATAAATTACAAAGAGGAAAAGTAAAGGCAAACAAAATTGGCAAGGGTCCACATCATTCTTACCCCCAGAGCAAATGTAGACAATGAAGAGCTTCGTAATGTAACAAGTTCAGAAAACTCGTCGTCAGAAAATAGATTGGAGCAAAACACGAAGTATAATGACATAGTTGTTACGAAAATAGCATGAATTGTTGACATAGAACTGCACAAATAATAGGAAAAAAATCATAAATATATCTTCGTCATAAACTAAATACGATCGTTCCATGAAATGGAAATATCCACTCACCGATTATTCCACTCAACGCGTTGGATTCTAGTGAGACTGGAATAGCTCTTAAAGTGAACAGTGCTAAACAGCTGAGTCAGATCATAGACCTGGAAAAACAGGGAAATATTTAAAGATAAATGAAAAATAAAGATATATAAAAGTAACCATAAAAGCTCAAGTCAAGTGAAATACTTTAGAAAATAGAATGAGAATATAATTTATTACACCATACCATCTTGCAAGCAAAAACGCCACCGATAATAGAAGTGTATGGAATCAGAGGGTCTGCTAACAAATATTCCTTCACAAATAAATTAGCCCGATTCTGGTAAGATTTGAATTTCATCATTTCATTAGAAGCCAACATTGCAACACTACCCCTTGAATGGGAAATCTTTTGAAGATCTTATGAGCTTTCTGCCTTTACTCTTGTACCCTGTTTTATGAACAAAAACAAGTTTGAACACAAGATGTTGCAAAATTTAAAAGCCAATGGTGAGTCCTAATTTGTTTTGCCTGTGAAAATGACTAGAGAGTTAAGGATAACTATCACATAAGTCACACAAATCAAGAGAAAGAAACTTAACCAATTAAGAATTTGTCTATGGTGTGCCAAAGAGATAACTGATCAAAACTTTCATATGGACGAAAGCTAGAATATAATCACATTAGGAATGAAGAAATAGGAGGAAAATGGAGGATGGGCATCCTCCTTGCAGAAAAGGATAGTCGACATCCAATTAAATAGAAGTGTGCTAATATCTCTCAGTGAAAGCAATCTTATACCAAATCAACTCTAACAAGGTAAGCAAATCCAACGGAAAATCCAAACGTTCAGAATCGGAAAGCAAGAAAGTTGTTTGCATATAAAACACATTGCCACAACACTCTTCTTTTACTCCATCCAAAACCTATTAAATCAATCAAGAAGGCAAGAAATGCTCCATATCCCATGTACATACCCAAATTTCACCCGAAACACCCAAAGGTCTGTTCCAATTTCCAAACGTTGTTATCCAGCAATGTAAATAACAACCAACAACATTATCGCAGATCTACCAACCAAACCAACTTGCGTGAAGTTCAATTATTAATATTTACAGGAAATAAATCATCCATCCGGAGAGGGTAGGAGAAAATTGACATACCAGGTATAAACACTCTTCAACCTAAGCATCACTGATAAACGGTTTATTCATTAATACCAAGCCTAACCAGTTACCACTATAAATATCATTCGCAAGAAAATCAAATAAGTTACTATTCTCTGAATGTCAGTAACTTCTAAAATCAGTGCAGAGCTGACAGAAGACACTGTCAAACAAAAAAAAAAGGTGAAAAGTCTTAAATCATCTAATAATTGAAGTTCAAGAAAACGAAATTCAGACAGGGTTCTAATTTCACATAAAAAACAGCACCCAACGGTTCATATTAATTGTAACCACTTGATCGAGTGAGATTTGAAAGCACCAGCTACAAGTAAGCTCAGCGACGAAAAGAATAAAAACAAAAAGAAAAACATTTCATAAAACTTCAGAGTAAAACCTCGTCAAGAGCTTTAAAAAAAAATAACGATAACGTTAGCAGCATTGAAGAGAGGAGAGAAGGAAGTAAAGTACCGAAGAAGAGGGGACAGGCGGGAATCGGGCGTAGGGGAGAAATGCGATCAGTTGGTTGGTGTGTGTGTGTGAGAGGTGAGAGTGGCGAAGGCGGTGGAATCACGTTGCGTGTGCAGTGGTGATTGAAGAAAAGGAAGGGAAAATCTGGAACATTGAAAACCCTAACATGTTGAATCGGAATCGGATTGGATTGGGATTGGAAGAAGTGAGGCCGAGGAAGAAGATGGCAGAGATAGGAAGAAATATTATGGTTGGGTTGGCACCCGCGTCTTTTATGCATTTCTTATTTTTTCTTATTTTTCTTTTAAATAAATAATTAACAAAAAAAGAAAACACAACAATAGTTTTTGACTGGTTACTACTCAGTTTTCAATCCCTTTCATCAATCATTTCAATTATTAGCTGCGTATACTTCGTCTCTTGTTCTTATACTCTTATATTAAATCTCATTTATTGTGTTGGCTTTTCTACTTTTTTTTTTCAATAAATAAAAATGTTGATGATATTTAATAATGGTCATGGAAAAGAATTTTGCAAAATATTCTCATTTAAAATTCATTTATTATTTAATTCTTGTACTAAAATATTCTTAAATTAAGCGAGAAATGTTTGAGCTGTGTCTCTGTATTGGCAACGACATGGAAATATATTATGTGTTGAGTGCAGAAAAGTCATAAAAGTTGCAGAAAATGGGAAATCTGTTGTTGGTGTTGGAAGAAGAAAAGTAGGATTGTGAAGGGACAGAAGTAGTTTCATCCTTGCATGCTTGCACAAGACGGTGTGCTTAAGCAAAGTATGTGCTATTTATTGTCTTATCATGTGAATCAAGGAACAGGGTCACCATTCACTTTTTATTTTATTTTTGTGTGCACACTAAGTTTTCACGGATAAAATTTATTCTAAAGTCTCCTCATTATATATACTGTGTGCCATAAACCACTGTTTTCTGATATGTTATTGCTAGCACTGAAATTAATGACATATTTGAAGTTTAGACTTCAGAATACAAATATGAATACTTCTAAACAACACGTTTTATTATTAGGTGGCTCACTTATACCAACAAAAAATTTAATAATTTATATATGGAATCTGATAAAATATTGGGCGCAAAATATAAGTTGCATTATGTCAACTTAAAAGTACTTTCAAACTATATGTCACTTAAATATTTACCTAAAATTAGGTAATAATTAAATTAGTTAGGCTTTAGTATCATTCTATTTGTTTCTGCTTAAATATTTATCTAAAATCTCAAAATTATAGCAACTAATAAATTTTAATAACTTGATAGAAATTATATCATTTTTTATATACATTGTAAAGACATAGCTTTTATTGATTTAACCTTAATAAATAAATGGATAAATTGTGTATAATATTTAAATAAAAAATGGTATTGAATCGTTTTATTTACATTGATAATGTATGTATTTAAATACAAAAGTAACATACACAATATAATTATAAAAAGGCTTAATTACCTACTTAGTCCCCATGTTAGGAGGTAATTTTCTGTTTAGTACCCGGTTTTAAAAATGTAAGCATTTGGTACCTATGTTTTGAAATTTATATCAATTCAATCCTATCCAGTTAACGGCGTTATAATTGATGCGAGAAATTAAGGACGTTAATGAAGATGCATTCAAACATTTGATAGCTATTCCACCCAGGCTATCATTAGCGTCCTTAATTTCTCGCATCAATTATAACGTCATTAACTGGATAGGATTGAATTGATACAAATTTCAAAACATAGGTACCAAATGCCTACATTTTTAAAACTGGGTACTAAACAGAAAATTACCTCCTAACATGGGGACTAAGTAGGTAATTAAGCCTTATAAAAAAGTAGCGCACAATAAATAGTAATTTATAATAATATTAATAAAACAAATACTATAATAAATTGATATTGATGAATGATTATAATAATTATTGTAATCTTGCATAATAAAATTGATATTGTGAATAGTTAAAATCAAGACTCATAAATGAATAGCTAACATTTGATCTGGGATTCTTCTTCATTCCTCCCCTCTTTACTCTTTTAAAGGTTCTTCTACAGTTAGAAGAAGCCCTAGAAAATAGTTTGACTTATGGTATGGAACAAACTCTATTATGAGTTTGAAGCATCTAGGCGTGTATTTGAAGCGTCTTGGTGAGTTTTTAAAATACATAGTTATATGCATCATCCGCATGAGAGAAAATTAATTCACGCTGGTGAAATTCCTATAAGTATAATTACTTATGGACGAAATTGGACAATGTGAACTCTTTGTAAGGTTTAATGACATTCAGGAGCATGATGATATTATAATACAATAAAATTGGTGAACCTGTCAGCTTTAACTTATCAAAAAGGTTTTTCGTTTTGCAAATATATTGTTTTATCTTCATGTCTCATTTTCGTGTGTTGTGAAATTTAAATTTAAAATAGGCGATTTTGGATCTGGTGTGCACACCAATAAGGCTTTGAGTTTCATCCCAAAGTTGTTTAGATGCTTCACAATGAAGCAATTGAGTTGCAATGTCAATTAACATAAAATTAATCAACCATCCTAGAATTAATCAATCCTCATAACTATGATTGACTTTTGTTTTTGTGTTATCTACAATCATGAATTGGTCAGGACTTATTATTTTTACCAATATATAGTCATCAAGTTTGCAACCTCTAATAACTAATAATACTAGAGATTTTCATAGTGGATAATTGTCTTTGTACAATTTGACAGAGATTGTAGATAGGAGGTCAATTTTGTGGTTGACAACGTATGACATGATTATTGTGGTTATGGATCAAAATCTCGGATACTAAGATAGAAAAATGTATTGAATCGTTTGATTTGTATTGATCATGTATGTGTTTAAATATAAAAAGTGACATACAAAAAATAAATACAAAAAATAAATACAAAAATTAACATAGAATAAATAGTAACCTATAATTATGTTAATAAAGACAAATATTATCATAAACTGATACTTATTAATGTAATATTACACAATAAATAAAACAATATTGTAAATGGCTAAAATCAAGAGTCATAAGATATTGAATACAATATTTGATTTTGTTTAACTTATTTTACCATTTCATGGTAACATATAGATAATGAATCAACATAACTTTAAAACATAATGTCTATTAATTATACATATTTATAATTAATTAAGTTTTCATAAAAAAAAAGTATTTATCTTAAAGAATATTAAATTCTTCCATTTTTTATTATTTTCTTAAAAATTATTTAAAACAAAAATTATTCACTCACACATGTTGTGATTCATTTTATTAATCTAAAATTAAAGAAATAATTTTAATGAACAAATATATCTAGAGTTAGACTTGTTAATTCGACTCAATCATGATACTAAACCAATATGATTCAAGATCAAAAGGTTTATAAGATCAAAAAAAGAAACCTGTAAGACAATCTATAGAAGAACTAAAATATAACAAAAAATTTATGGTCCAGACTAACTCATAGACCGGTCTTTAAGAATCGATTTCAGATCATGATAAATAAAGTTAAGTCAGTCCAAGTTAAGTAGACTAGCTAGGTTAAGTCCAAGTCAAGCCAAGGTTATTAGGATTTAATCGTGTTTAGTTCAGCTAAACCCACATTAGATAGATTTGAGTTTGATTTGTGTCAAATTGAGTTAAGTTAGGTGCACCTCAACAACCCATAGCGAGTCAAATACATCTCAAACCGAGATAGGTAAACACATTCAAGTCCAATCAAGTCGAATCAAGTTAAGTTGGACCCATGTCAAGCCAAGTCAAGTTAGATCATTAGGAAAAATAAAGTTAGGTTCACGTTGGATCGAGTCAAGTTAAGCTTGCATTGACTTTTGTTGAGTCAAGTCAAGTTAGGTTCATCTTAGGTTGAGTTGGGTTAGATCTTCCTTTGGCTAAAAGAAGTAAGACTCATATAAGATGAGTTAAGTAAGGCATACCTTGGGTAAAGTCAGAATAGAACCACCTTTGGCTAAGTAGAGTTAGACTCATCTCAAGCAAAGTCAAGTCAAACCTACATTGAATTGAGTCTAATAAAGGTCACTTCAAGCCTAGTCAAGTCAGGCTCATAACAAATTTAATAAAGTTTTGTCCATATTAGACTAAGTTGAGTCAAGTCATTATTAGGCCAAATATAGTTGAACTAACATCAAACAAAATTAATTTAGCTCACCTTAGATTAAGTTGAGTCAAACTAACATTTGCTTGAGTCGAGGTTAACTTATCTTTGATCGAATTAAGTCAAATCGACATCAAAATGAGTGAAATCAAGTTGACAAAAATAAATTAAGTTAGATTTACATCTAATCAATTTTAAGTCAAATTCAAATCATATTATATTATTTTAAATTAAAATAATGTCAACCAAATTTAAATCCATACTAAATAATATAAAAGTAGACTGAATTTAAATTAAGTTAAATTGATCTAATCAAACTAAGTTAAGTTAAACTATAACATTCTTGTAAATATTTAAAATTAAATAAAAATGAATTTATAGTTAATGTATAATATTTAAAAATTAATTTATAATTTCAAATATTTAAAATTTAATTAAAATTTTGTAATCCAGGCAAACTTACATTAGCATTGATCCTAACCGATGATTTAAAGAATTTTTCAATACATTCATTTGATTGACTAATAAAAAATTTCTTTAGAAGTGAATCAAATTCACACTTCTATCCATTACGTTCTACCTACCCCTACAGTAAATCATAATTATTTACGGTTGATAACCTCTGGCTCCTGACATGCATAAATCTGAGAAATTTACTTTATAGAAGAAAAAAATATTGAAAGAACTAAGGTTAGTTGAATGAGTAAATATTACTCATAACGATATGATTGATGACTTTTTT